AAATCAATTAAAAGCTGGATGTACTCTGGATCACAATTATGATGGAGGCAGATTTCAAGGAGGGTGCGGGGGCGAGGCACACGAGCCAATAGATACTGGTCGGTGCAGTTGTAGTCAGGGTCTGCCCCATGTTGCAAAAGCAGGCGGAAACAGTCAAGGTGCCCATAGACTGCAGCCAAATAGAGGGGGCCAGAACATGAAGCTATGTTTGATGCCCAGACTGGTAGTTTAGCTTTGACATTGACCTCTGCACCATGGCCCAGGAGTTCCTTCAGGATGGCAACAGCACCATCACGAGCAGCTGTGAGCACAGGAGAGCAGTTGTTGTAAATGCTACCACCAGGACAGGCACCAGCTTCCAAAAGCACACGCACACAGTCCAGATGACCATGACTGACGGCGGTAAAAAGTGGTGTCTGTGCCTTGACGTCCAAGCTATCGACATCAGCACCATGTGCCAGGAGAACCTGCAAGCAGCTCAGATGGCCATAAGAAGCAGCCAAGCGCAGGGGTGTCCCAGGAATACCCCAGCCACTCCTACTGTTGATGAAACGTTTGTAACGCTCCTGGTGCAAAAGCTGGTCCAAGGTAGAGGAGTCATTTTCATATACTGCTTGATTGAGAGCCTGCTTCTCCCCTGTGTCGGTGTCCTCCTCCTCCTTGTCGGGCTGCAGGAGGGAGAAGATCTTGGTGATGTCCATGAGGTTCATCTTTGCTGACTGGAAAACTATTCTCATTATGAGCAGGAAGATGTGCCAGATCTGTGGGTCGGAAAAGTGAGAAAGAGTGAAAGACTGAGGACCCCCATCAAAAGCCTGGATGCCAGCCCTCATCCTTCACCCTTTATGATCAGACTCTTCAGTCATGGGCACTCTGAATAGCACTCCTATTCCATCTTATTTCAAGCCCCAGAGATGGCTGCAAGAACAGATCACACTTTTTCACAGCCTCTGCATATGCTGTTCTGCCTGTCCTTAGAACACTTACTTATTTCTTGGGATGCTTTCCCTAATATCCTCCTGTTCCTGCTCAGGGACTCCAAAGGAGCACAACTAGACTTTAACTATGAACTTTCACACCACATTTCTAAGTATCTGTGCTTCATTAGTGTGTAAACTCCAGAGTGAGAACCTCTACACCCATCTTGTATTCCTCCACTCTGAGGGCCTACATAATGACTGGGTATTTGGTAGGTGCACCTTTCTCACTTCAGAATGTGTACACTAATAAGGTGATGCTGATCTGACAGTTAACTAAGCCAACAGATTTTTGGCGATTTGTGGTGTCAAGCTGTCATCCTGTGCAGTCAAACATCAGTTTTAAGGGGCAGACCACAAACTCCACCTACAGTCTTTTAGATGAAGTTCAGCATCTTCACAAGCATGTCATGTGTAACCTCCCCTCAGATTCAAGCCCCATGCTTCAAGCAACAGAGTTGCTCTGGTTAAATAAGGAGGTGACACTATAAAGAACACACTTCAAGTAAAATAAAGTTTAAAAATATGGTAAAAAAAAGTTGTGTTTTCCAGGGAAAGTCTTCCTTACTGGTGACAACTGGTTTCTCCCCCAAGACCACTTCATTCTAGGAGTCCTTCTTATTGCCAGTATCTCCTTGGAATCTATGGCTTCCCTATCCTTCTGAGTCAAGTGTTTTCCCTTGGTCTCTGATCCAACAAGCTTGGAACCTCTTCTCTCCTCATGACCCAATAATAACTCAACTTAACTCCTTGATCTTACCAGTCCTATTCCTAGTGCTACAAAGTCAAAGTCACTCACCTCAGTTTTTAATGTCATTAGTGAAAGCTGTTAGGTTTTTCAGAGCTCAGGTGTTCCTACTCTCCCATACCCTGCAGTCATGGTTTCAGGGCCACATACAACCTCTTATTCACTGTCTATCTCCACCCTTCTTTGTTAGCCTTCAACCCTGGGTAAATACTTCATAAGAAAAAATTGTGAGGTGGGTGGGTGGGGTTTCCCCCAACTTTAAGCCTCTCCCTCTATCCCAGCATCAACTCCATATATGGTCATACCATTTATTCATTTTGGGTACAAGTGTAACAAGAAGATTTTTAGAAATCAGGCAGACCTGTTTGTAATTAGCATCACCAGTCCCTAGCTGAGTAACCTTGAACATGTTTCTTCCCTTTGGGACTCTGTTTTCTTGCCTATAAGACAGAAAATGATAGCCTCTGCTTCATAAGGCTGTTAAGAGAAAGCTATTATGTATTAGCTCTTTAAAGATGGGACTTCTTGCTTTGCACATTGAACCTCTTTACTCTTTCTCCCCCCCTCAACCATTTTAGGAAACAAAACAAGACACATCTATGGTATTTTGTCCTACTCTAGCTTCCTTTTTCTTCATCTTTCTCTTATTCATCAAACATATACAACAAATTATCTACCATGTAGTTCCCAACCTCCAATTTGCTTCTCCATATTCTATAATCTGACTCCATCCATCCTCAGTCACACACTAAGGCAGTGCTTTAAAGAGTCATCTTTCTGGCCAAGCCTACTGTGTGCTTCTCAGTTCTTTCCATCTTGACTTTTCAGGGACATCTGTTTTCACTCTCTCCTACATACTCCTCCCTTGGCTTCCTTGCCAGCATACTTCCCTGATTTTTCTCCTTTTTATCTCCCCTGAAATAGTTAAATTCTTCTTGTTCTCTCCTTGATCCTCTTCTCTTCAATCCCAGAGCTATTTCTGTCACTTTCATTCTGATGATTTCAAGACTATCATTTCAAGCCCTCCATCTTTCTCCTCAGCAAAATGTATGTATCCACTGAGATTCTTCAGGCACTTCAAAGTCAACAATATTACACAACCACTATCACCATCACCATCAACAAGCTCGAACTATATCTCAGTTCTTCACTGTCCATCTAGTCAAACAAAGACCCTAATACCCATCTTAGTTCTCTTATCTTTTGTGTGACTTCCATATAGATGTTCATCAAATCTTACGGTTTTTACTTCAGAGATAGAGATAGGTCACTCATATCAGGCCATATCACCCCATTGCCAATGCATTATCTAGGTCTCCTCATTGTTTGCCTCAACTGTTGCAGTGTCCTAGCTAGTTTCTCTTTTCAATATTTTCTTCACATTTTAACCAAAACAACCATAAAATATAAACCCCATGTGTTAAATCCTTAAATGGTTCCCCTTTCACCATCCAAGCCAGATACCTTATCCTGGTTCACAAGTCTTTCACAAGCAGATCTTGGCAAATCTCTCCAACCTCAATTCCTACTATTTCTCCATTTATACTCCAAGATCCAGTGATAAGGAAACAAACCATTCCTCTCCATATACACGTTCTTTCACAGTCTGTGCTCTTATAGCAGTCAAGACACTGTATTATAACTTCTTTTATATAGACCTGTTTTGCTCCCACTGCAGATTGAGTGGCTGTATGGGATAGAGGTAAGCATGGACCTGGAATTCTGCTTCAACTTAGTTCCACCACTTAATAGCTGTGTGACCTAGGGCAGATGACTTTATCTCTCTGTGTTCATTTCTGTTTTTTTTTTTTTTTAAGATTTATTTATTTATTTGTACAAGCACTGGGTCCAGTCAGAAGTGCAGGAGGGTGAGAGAATTCACCAGAGCCAGAGCAGGGAACAGAACAGCCAGACTGATGAAATATACTGCTGAGGGGAGCAGCGGGTGTGGCAGGAGAGGTCTGTGTGCCATGTGGGACCCTCACCAGTGGCCGGGGATTGAACCGGCGCTGCAGAGGCTGCAGGCAGCTTTGCAGCCCAGCACTCAACCACTGTGCCACCAGGGGAGGCCCTCTCTGTGTCCATTTCTTCATCTGTAAAGAGAGAGTGATAATTGTCCCTGCCTCAGAGAGCTATTGTTAAGATTAATAAATTAATATACATTAAGTGCTTAGAATAATACCTGTGTGAAATACTCAGCAACATCATTACTATGATGATTATTATTATTTAGGTCTCCAATTTCTATAACTACCGCTCCCTACTCAGAGCTGAAATGCACCCTGTAGATTTAATTTACTCAATTTAAAGGTGGGAAAATCAAAGCTCAAAGGAAAACAAGGACTGTTTCCTAATGTCACATATTTGTCATTATCAGTTGTGTCATTAACAAGAACCCAGAAGTCATCTATAATCTTGTGCTGCGTTTCAAAGCTCTTTCAAATAGTGGAATAGTAATATGATCCCCCTTCTGTGGATGGAAGAAACAGAGGCCAGAGAGTACAAGAGATTTGTCAGCTGTTTTATATGAAAGATAGCAGAGCCAGAAATAGAATCTAGGCTTTCCTGCTCCCCATCCTGTTCTTTCTTTTGCAACTTGAAACACAAACACATGCCCTGCCCCCTTGCCTCAAGGGGAGTCACATTGCATCTCCCAGAATACTCAGCTTTTGACTGTTATGCTGAATTCCAGGGACTTCAATCATGAAAGGTTTCTTTACAAATCATTTCTTCTAATAACCAGCAGGGATTCCCTTCTTACTCACTTCTTATTTTGGCAAGTGGTCTCTGGGGAGATGAAGAGAGAATGGAGTCGGGAGGGAAATGCTAAACTCTCAAGATAATACTAAAGACCTATAGCAGGCCCCATCTAACCATCTAATGAGCCTCCAGTGGGATTAAGCAATGGCCCCTAGATGACTTGGCCACTACTCCTTGTTTGACAGGATAAGAAAATCCACCTAATATATTGTCTAACCTCCCTTTATTGTGGTTCATTAATTAAAGAGTTATTATGTGGCTATTCTGTGCCAGGATCCTCCTTTCTGATCCTTAGAGCATAGCATTTTTTTTTTGTGTGTATGTGACATTGGGCTGGCAGTAATTTCAGTAAGTCTCTGGTTCCCTCTCAGAATGATTTTTAGCACATAAAAACAGGGTTAAATGAAACCAATTATATTGACATGCAACAATATAGTTAACTGCATTATATACTAATAGAAATTCTTTGTTAATGCATTAAATAACAGGATCTACTAATAATTTCTTTTTTTTTTTTTCACAAGAAGGGTAATGTGCCGATGTTGTAATAAAGTTTAAGGGAGGCACATCTCACACAGCCACGTGAACACCCAATCATCATGCTTATGAACGGGAAAAGGATCTCCTTTAAAAAAAAAAATATTTATTTATACAAGAGCAGGGGTACAGGCCAGATGCGCGGGAGGGTGAGAGGACTCACCAGAGACAGAGCAGGTAACAGAACAGGCAGACTTACGAAATACACTGCTGTGGGAGGCAGCAGGCGCAACAGCAGAGGTCTGCAGCGCCATGCGGGACCCACGCCGGCCAGCCGGGATCGAACCAGTGCTGCAGAGGCTGTGGACAGCTTCACAGCGCTGTGCTCAACCGCCTGCGTCACCAGAGGAGGCCCTCTACTAATAATTTCTAAGTGATGGTAAATGAAATTTCCCGATCTCTGCAATACCGTAATGTGAGTTGAACTATTTGTGATTTCATCTAGTGACCAGGATATAAGAACTGGACTGCCATCTATTGCTTGCATGCATTCTTGAAGGAAATTGTAAATTTTATTTAGAGCTCAGGAAAGGAAAAAGGTAATTGTTCATCCCATCTATGTTTTTGGGCCCTTTCAATTTTATATAAGACCTTCTTGGGAGTCCATGTGTACAGGTGAAGATTTCCTATGAGATACCTTGATCCTAAAATATCCCTCCAGACATTGTAGACTATTTTTAAGCCTTACTTCCCTCCCTCCACCTTGAAAATCTCTGCCCTTCTATCCTTGAGCCCATCCTATTGCACCCCACATCTAAGACTCACAGATATCACACAAGGATAAAAAAAAAACAAACCCTCACCATCCCTGTATTTCATAACCACAATTTCCCCCAAGAAGTAGTTTTGTTTGGACCCCAGAGCTTAGGCAGACACAATCTCTTGGGATAGAAGGTAAGGATACAGGCATCTATCCCTCCTCCCCTCTGCCAGCAAGTTTCCCTTCCATCCTCCCAAGTCCCCCCAGAAACTAGACCCAGTGGGAACAGCTTATAAAGAGTGAAGGTGACAGGTTCATAGACATGGATCCTTGGTTCCAAGTACTTACTGGAAGGACTTGTATTTCCTTCACTGGGGTCGTATTCTCTACCTCTCTGCAAAGTGCTGGGCTCTGGTGGCCTCTCCAAAGGGAGCCTCTACTATCTCTGGAGCAGAGCAAGTGGACCTTCTGTTCTCATTGTTAACAACACTACCAAAAGACTAGGATTGTCCTATGGACTGACTAGTTCCAGATGGCTAATTTTAGGCTACCCTCAACCCTCCAACCCCTTGCAGTGCTGTCTTACTGGTGCAATTCTGGGAGTGATCCCAATAAGAGAAGGGGGGCCAGTGGGTTGGCAGGGAAGTCCTAGAAGGACTGATTGACAGATAGACAGGTGCTTGGCAGGCCAGGGCTCAGGCACCTTAAATGTCCTCCTGTACTTCTCCCCACCATTCAAATGAGCTACAAGGTTAAAGCCCTGTACTGTGGGTGTTCCAGCAAGGTGCCCCAGAAGGCCCAATCTTTCACAGAACACCTTCTTTTGGACCAAGTCTCTTTTTCAGCCCTCTCCCTAACAGCCTTTCTGGATTTCCATTTTTCCTTTCTTGAAGGTCTAGCAATACACTTCCCTCAAATCTTCTCCCCAACTCCAAGAGTAAGAAAGACACTGGGAAGCAAGGACCTCTATACTGGAACACATTATCAGTAAGGTTTTTTTAGAGTTTAATAAGGTCCTAGTCATTTATAGAAGGTCTTGCAGTCCACTAAGTCACCAGATTCAGTCTGAAGAAACACATACACCTTTCCCATTCTCCTCATACCTAAGGCATCTAACCAAATCCATGAGTCAAACACTGGTAACTTTTTCAAAAATTAAGCTCTTAAGGATATCATTTATTTCTCTGTTCACCTTTAAATGAAGGAAATGGTAGCAAGAGACCTATGGAAATGATCATATTATCTATTTTAGATGTGACTCAGAAAAAAACTGGAGGCCAGCTCCCTCCAGGAAGAAATGCAAGCTTAGCATTTGGTATACAAGTTACATCACAAACAATCTGAGCAGTCTGAGAAACTCTTTCTGGAGAAACTATCAACTAGTTATTATAGTTAGGGTTCTAGATGCTGGAAGAACACACACACACAAAAGCAAGACATATTATCCCTGAGAAAGCCCAGTGTATTAGAGAAAACATCATAGGAACAATTATATTTCACATAATGTAAAAATGTCAGCACTAAAAGCTACCCTGAATGTCTATGGCTATCCTGTGTCCATGTCAATCTCCTAAATTTGCCCAAGGTATTACTGTGGGTTTCTTTGTCCCTATATGTCATAAAACATAATAATTTTAATTTTCTTTGATTCATGGGTGATATGGTGGTGGGAGAACTATGGGGAATACAACCATGTAAGAAAATAAGAAAAAAAAATATAAAAAATGTTACTGCAGGACATTATTTGGGAGTAGATAAGGTTTTGACAATATTTCTGAACAAATACCACCAAGATCAAGGATTTCATGATTATAATACAATGTGTGTATACCTGGCCAGCATGGGTATACAAGAAAGAAGACAGACACATGAAGTAACTGAGATCTGCAAAACTACTCAGGCATCCCGCCTTCTATCAGCCAATGCAACAAGTTGCAGACATAAGAGTGAGTCAGCGGAGTTCAGCAGAGCCTCCCCACCAATACCAGTTCCATCTATTTATCTCTAACCAACCTACACTTGAGCAATAATTAACACTTGTTTTTTAAATAATAATTTTAATTTTTCTGTGAAGAAATTATAGTCTCTATAGAACACTGATCTCAAGATCACATAAATATTCTCTTTCCCTTCCAGTCACTAAGGGAGAAAGTTTCAATAAGCAAAGACAAAAAGCTAACTAAGGGACCATAGATATAATGAAGTAAAGCATTAGCAATTCTGATTCACATGATTATTTTGGCATTATAATTTGCATTTTGAAAAGGAATTTCCAAATTTCTGAGATATATGACTTCTGCTTAAATACTTCTAATAATAGTACCCTCTCTACATTCAGAAGCAGTAGATGTCATTATTGGGCAATTCAGCTAGTCATTTCTGTTCAATCTGTATGTGCAACTACCAAGCATTCTTGATTAACAAGTGATTTTATTTTCATTCATTCTTAGGAATCCAGAGAACACAGCCACTTTGTTTGCTCAAAAATAGCCTTTTAGGTTTTGAGCCCTCATATCCTTTCTTTCATTTCACCTTGTCTCAGGGACTAAACTCCCAGCACTTACAGCTATTTTTTTAAAAACTGATATCTACCCACTCCCTTCCTCAGTTTTGCCTACAACACTTGTGAAATGGTCATTCAAGCTGCTTACATTATAACAGCACTAGGGAGTTCACAAATGTTCAGAGGTCTCCTTAAGAAAGTATCAGCATGTCCCAATGTGATCAATGACTCCGAGGATGAGAAATATCAAAAAGTATATTTGGTTTATGTCAGTGATCTGTAACAGGTCATTATCTAAGGCCTCATACAAAATTTATTAACTTGTTTAACGTCATCATGGAATTAGAGTACTGGATAATCTTCTCCCATAAAACAACTACTAAAAATAATATTTGCTCAAAGGATTTTTCCCAGGACTTTTCCACAGAGGACTTGAAGTAATGTTAGTTGCTTATTACAGGAAAAGAGAGGGAGAAGGTGAAGAGGATCATGGCTTGGAAAGTAGATATTTCAGCTGGCAGAACAGTCTGGGTGTCAGATATCCACATCCCTAGGGAGTGCACTGGGGTATAGTGAATTTCATCAGAGGGATTTTTCCGAAAGAGAGTGTAGTCATGAGAAGGCTCAGGTTCGAGCAAAGTCACTGAGTGTTCTGCAGCCAGCATAGGCAAGAAAAGTTTCTCCCAACCAACTCCCAGAAGTAACAGAACAAAGATTATTCAGGTAGAGCCATATCACACTCAGTTGTGGGCTCAATAGCAGAAAGAAGAACTATTAAGAGAGAGATCTCAATATGCCCTTGGAAAGAATCAATTGGATGCATAGCTCTTGTAGCCCAGATCCCTCAGACATGGGAAGATGGCAGTGGTGACTGCTGTGGTGGCCACTGCTTATGGTCATTTCTGGGCATAGTACACATAATCCTATAGAGGGTTTCCTACCTGTACAGGCCAACTGAATCTTAGAACTTGAGCTCTGTGGACCACACCTAGGTTCCTCACTAGGAGACACAAGCTTGGTGGAAGGTGACATGCAGCAAAATAAAGCAGCAGGGAGGCAGGTTGAAGAGTTAAGAAAATGAAAACACTAGATTGAGCTTGACATGAAGTGAGAGGCGAGGAAGCAGAGGTGACCACTACATATCTTAACAAAACTGAAATTGAATAAGACCCTGTTCTCCCTCTTGGCTACATCTCATATGTAGGTAAACTAAAAGAGAAACAAACAAAACTTAAAAACCAGCACCCCAAACACAAAAACAAAATAAGGAAACACACTGAACACAGCATGGGAAAGCAAGAGTAAAAGTATATAAGTTCCAGAACATACATAAAGGATGCAGAAGTGAGGACTTAACAGAGTGAAGCCTTAATAGTAAAAAATGTTAAATGAGCTACTGGAAGGTCAAAGACAGATAGCCAGGTACAAAATCTTAAAAAGGAAATCCAGAAAGAAAAATAAATATTTAAAAAGAGATTTAAACTATTAAAAGAATACAAAAAAGAATGAAATAGAGACAAATATAGAAGTGTTTTAAATAGAATTAAACTGGCAGAAGAGAGAATTTCAGAAATAGAAGACTCAAATGCACAAATCACACAATCAGAAAAAAGGAGAGAAACAATACTTAGGAAAACTGAAGAAACACTATGAGAAATAGCAGATTCAACTTGAAATGGGAAAATAAGGATAATGGGTTTTCTAGAAGGTAAAGAGAAGTGAAGGGAGCAGAGATCCAATTAAGAGAAATAAAAGCTGAGAATTTCCCAATCCTAAGGAAATAATTAAGCATAGATTTCCAGGAAACAGATACGTAACTCAAATTTCTAAATGTAAAATTACCTACACCAAGATACATCATTGATAAGTTATTAAAAATCAA